TTTAGAGCCTTCAACCGGATTGGGCTAGAGTTCACGTGGAAGGAACTCTTGTCCGCTTTTCTTCTTTCCTGTCTGTAACTGCAACTCAAGCAAGTTTTCCTGCCTGCACCGCGACCATCTTCGGTGTAAGTAAAATAATCTTTAATCAACCGCTAAGCGTCCGTGCCTAATTCTAGTCCGCCGGCCTGCATTCCCCGACCCGTGTGCCAGGGCTGCTGGCCACAGCCCGCCGCACCCCCCGAGGGCCTCGGACCGCTCCCGGCCCGCACACAGGAACTACTTCACAGTTAGGGCAGCTAGGATCTGGAACCAACTTCCAAGGGAAGTGGTGCTGGCACCTACCCTGGGGGTCTTTAAGAAGCAGCTCGATGCCTACCTGGTTGGGGTCACTTGAGCCCAGTTTCCCTCCTGCCTAGGCAGGGGGTCAGACTTGAAGATCTACAAGGTCCCTTCCGACCCTACTTCTATGAGTCAAGTTGCAGCAAGGGAAGTTTAGGTTAGATATTAGGAAGAACTTTCTCGCTAGGAGGGTTGTTAAGCACTGGGACAGGCTACCCAGAGAGGTTGTGGAATTTCCATCCTTAGAAGTTTTTAAGACCTAGGTAGACTATGACCTAGAATGAGACAGTTGGGGATGGTCCTACTCTGAGCAGGGGGTTGGGGTAGATGACCTACTGAGGTCTCTTCCAAACCCTAGTTTTCTATGATTCTGTGGAGCTCTGGGTAGCTGCCTTCCAAATATCAAGAAGAGAGACACTCTGTAGGAAAGCTATCGAAGCCACTTGGGATCTAGCAAAATGAGCTCTGATCTCTGTTGCCGAACCCATCTCAGCATGGGTTCAGCAACAGAACCCATGCTGTGTAGTGAGAGCTATGACTCGGTCTAAGCTCCGTTATGCCAGAAATCATTTGACCTTTAGTTCTTTACTATAGAAATGAAGATCAAAGGGAGACTGCCAGAAGAGCTTTCTTCACATAAAGTGTACAAAGCAAGGCCTCTGACTCTTGGGAGGGGGAGACAGGGATTGAAGGAGTAGGTTAATTTGGTAACCAAAGTGAAATTCAGTAAAAAGGAAATTGATGAGTGTCTGTAAGGAACACTTATCAAAGGTAAAAATCAATGGGGGGAAATCTATCATCAGTTCCTGAATCCTACCTACCAAGGGCATTTTCATAGACAAATGGAGTAGCAAGGAGACTATCATCAGTTCAAATGGTGGGCCCACTTGGGATTTGAGGATTACGTTTAGGTCCCACTAAGCCTTTCCCTGAAACAAAAGAACTGACGCTACTTCCTGGTGTCCAAAATGCATAAGTCTGGATGACTTCTGCCTGAGATGAAGGCCCATAGAATGGAGTCCTCTAACTTCCAGTCCCAATGCAAGATGTACCTGCAGTGGCTTAGTTACTCAGTACCTAGGAAATATACTGCTGAAAGAGTCATCTAGTGAGAAATGAACTAGTCCCAGATGCCAAATGTCTCCCTGCAGGGGGAAGGAAAGATTTCAAGTCTCCTTATTTGTTTAGGTAACACACTATAGTGTTACTGCCTGTCATAATCTGAACATTTTGTCCTGTGATAGGATGCAGAAATACATGACAGGCTCCGTGTACCAACCTGAGCTTCGGAAAACTGGCATGCAGCTTGGTCTCCTTGGCAGACCAGACACCACTGTTTGAATGTCATTCCTGTGTGCTTCTCACCCATGAGGGAGACTTTGTTACAATCATGACTAATGGATGAGAATGAGAAAATGTGACTTCCTGAAGGCATTGGCAGGATCCTTCCCCCATGCAAGGCAAAGAAGCACTTGACAAACAATGAAACCATCATCTCCATACCAAGGCTCACATTTGCGAGAGCCCGGCAGGACAAATTATGCTGAGGGGAAACCAGCACGGGTTCGTGGCAGGCAGATCGTGCCTGACCAATCTAGTTTCTTTTTATGACCAGGTTACGAAACACCTAGACACAGGAGGAGGGGTGGATGTCATATACTTAGACTTCAGGAAGGCCTTCGATACGGTATCCCACCCCATACTGGTGAACAAGTTAAGAGGCTGTGACTTGGATGACTACACAGTCCGGTGGGTGGCGAATTGGCTGGAGGGTCGCACCCAGAGAGTCGTGGCGGATGGGTCGGCTTCGACCTGGAAGGGTGTGGGCAGTGGGGTCCCGCAGGGCTCGGTCCTTGGACCGATACTCTTCAATATCTTCATCAGCGACTTGGACGAGGGAGTGAAATGTACTCTGTCCAAGTTTGCAGATGACACAAAGCTATGGGGAGAAGTGGACACGCCGGAGGGCAGGGAACAGCTGCAAGCAGACCTGGACAGGTTAGACAAGTGGGCAGAAAACAACAGAATGCAGTTCAACAAGGAGAAATGCAAAGTGCTGCACCTAGGGAGAAAAAATGTCCAGCACACCTACAGCCTAGGGAATGACCTGCTGGGTGGCACAGAAGTGGAAAGGGATCTTGGAGTCCTAGTGGACTCCAAGATGAACATGAGTCGGCAGTGTGACGAAGCCATCAGAAAAGCAAA